GTATGTATGTGTATGTATGTCTATGTATGTATGTCTGTATGCATGTATGTCTGTATGTATGTCTGTATGTGCATGTCTGTATGTCTGTATGTGTCTGTATGTATGTATGTCTGTATGCATGTATGTCTGTCTGTATGTATGTATGCATGTATGTATGTCTATGCATGTATGTATGTCTGTATGTATGTCTATGTATATACGTATGTATGTCTGTCTGCATGTCTGTCTGTCTGTCTGTATGTATGTATGTCTGTCTGTATGCATGTATGTCATTATGAATGAATGTATGTCTGTATGTCTGCCAGTATGTATGTTATTATGTATGCCATTATGAATGTATGTCTGTATGTATGCATGTATCAATGTATGTCATTATGTATGTCTGCCAGTATGTATGTATGTATATATATATATATATATATATATATATATATATATATCTGTATGTCTGTCAGTATGTATGTATGTATGCAAGTATCAATGTATGTCTGTATGTCATTATGTATGTCTGTATGTCAGTATGTATGTATATATGTATGCATGTATGTCTGTATGTATGTATATGAATGTATATCTGTATGTCATTATGCATCTATATATGTATCTCTGTATGTCAGTATGAATGTATCCAGAAAAAAGACACCAAAGGTGTCTAGGGATGCCAGGAGCTCGCCTAAAATGTGGCTAAAAAAGCTAAAATATCTTTAAAAGGGTAATACTAATAGAGGTGTTGTACCTTTAAGAGGGATGCTGTAACCTTAAGAAGAAGTTATATATCAGAATAAGAACAATGTGAATATAATCCCTCTTAAAGGTACAACACCTCTATTAGTACTACCCTTTTAAAGATATTTTAGCTTTTTTTAGCCACATTTTAGGCGAGCTCCTGGCATCCCTAGACACCTTTGGTGTCTTTTTTCTGGTTATTCCTTTATAGGTTCTAGTGGATCCCTATTTGTGCCAGTTTTGAGCAACCTAATACTAGTCCAACTCCCTCATTTTTGGGCAACACACTAGGTGTACCAGTACAAATCAGTATGAATGTATGTCTGCATATCATTATGAATGTATGTCTGTGTGTATGTGTGTATGGATGTCTGTATGCATGTATGTCAGAATGTATGTATGTCTGTCAGTATGTCTGTATATATGCATATAATGTCAGTCTGAATGAATGCATGTATGTATGTATGTCTGTATGCCATTATGAATGTATGTCTGTGTATGTCTGTATACCATTATAAAGGTATGTCTGTGTATGTTTGTATGCCATTATGAATGTATGTGTGTATGTATGTATGTATGTGTGCATGTATGTCGGTGTCTGTATGTATGTCAGTGTGTATGTATGTATGTGTCTTTATGTCCTCATGCATGTGTGTCTGTATGTATGTTAGTATGTGTCTGTCTGTCACTATGTATGCCTGTGTGTCTGTATATGTGTGTATGTCTCAATATGTGTGTGTCAGTATGTATGCCTGTATGCGTGTTTGTCTGTTTCAGTATGTGTGTCTGTTAGTATGTACCTCTGTCCTTTTGTATCAGTGTGTGTGTTTGTGTCTGCGTGTGTATTCCTGTGGGCGGTATTTGGAGGCGGACCCCAGTGGGGGCTCCTGAGCTGAGTTAGGGGCCCCAAAAATTCTGGTGGTGGCCATATATATATATATATATATATATATATATATATATATATATATATAATATTTTTACATAATTAAGTCATTTTATTAATTACAATTTGAGGTATCTGCCTGTCAACCCAACTTTGACCCAACTTTGGCCAGTGTTTGTGACTAAGTGGCTACTAAAAAAGACTGGACACAACCCATTTGTAATACCTTGGGGTGTCTACTTTTGCAAATGGTATGCTATCATGTGGGTAATTCTCATTCCTGCGCTACCATTTGATCTCAAAGGCAACATAACCAGTCTGGCAAATTTCAATGTGTATAAAATTAAAAATGTAACATGCAATATTTGACCCTGTAACTTTCTAGAATAACATAAATCCTATACATGGGGGATACTGTTTTACTCGTGAGACAACACTGAATACAAATATGTGTACTTTATTGCAGTAACAGCTTACAGTATTATGACATTCACAGTTAAAATACCATGCAGAACGAGAAAATTAACAAAATCTCTTAATTTCTCAAATGTGTTAGATTTTTTCATATTAAATTATGTTTCATATATAAAAATTTGATATGACATGAAATACCTGTTTCTCCTGAACAAAATGATATATAATAAGTGTGGGTGCATTTAATATGAAAGAGGTAAATTACAGCTAAACACAAAAAACACAGAAATGTAAAAACAGCTTTGGTCCTTAACAGTAAGAAAATTGAAAAATGGTCTGGTCACTACCCAGCAGCATCCTTGGACCCAGCAGCACCCTTATAATGTATGCATGTTCAAGTGAGTGCAGCACTCATGGTTTCATATATAAATATATTAGGGAGTCCAGGCCAACTCCCTAGTTGTGCATCCCATCCCTGTCTCAGTTGCCTCATTTCAGGGTCCTATTTAACCTTGCACTGCAGAGTACTCCAGGATTAAGGATTTCCCAAGTAAGTTGGTTAACCTCATAAGTGCAGATATTAGGTTGCTAGGATAGGTCCTGCAAAATATGAGGTTAATTTGTGTTGTGACAGAATTATACAAAGTATGATTATATACTATAACTAACCTGGGGCATGTGGTGTGTTCAGTAACAAATGATAAAAAAAATTTCGTCTTGATTATTGTTGCTCGTGCAAAATTAAGCTTAACTTGCAGCTGTATCTAACTATTAGCTGGATACCAGTGGGCACTTGAAACAACTTTGAGTTATTCCTACCATGGGACTAGTTTACCAATATACAATTGTTAATAGGTTTTTTGTTTAAATTAAATGAGAGAGAATCCAGACACAACATTTTTTAATATTATTAATTTTAGTTTTTATGCTAAAAAGTTCAAGGCCTGCAAAGTGATTAAAAATGAACAGCTCAATTAAGACCCCAAAATGCACTATATACATTTAAAAAAGAAAACAGATCTAGCCAGACCATTAGGAAAAAAATACAAATATACTAAAACAGTGTAAGACAACAGTGTAAGTCCTTCTGTATAATACACTGTAAAAATCACCCCAAACAGGAAAATGACCCTATCGGCAACAATTTTAGATGTACCTTATACTGGAAAAGAAAATCCTGCTTAAGTAGTTCAGAAGAACCAAGATTTTTCATGCTGCACAAAAGTCTGGTTTTACAGTACAGCTACATTATTGTATTGTTTTCTATACAGGTAAGTGAGAAAGTTTAAAAGGAAGATTTTCTGCCAAGATACCGGCACAAAATTGCTGACATCTTAAGGCACAACTAGCTGTTAGCCCTAGGGAAAATAGAGCTTGATTTTATCTGTTGAAGCAGATATTGACCTTTCATTGATTGTAATAAGACAGACTCTTTATTGATGTAAACTCACCACAGATGACCCTCAGATCAAAAATTAACCGATAAAGGTCAATGCAAGAAGAGAAAGCAAAATGAATGCTAAATATCAAGGGCATCTGTGATCATTAAAACATTGAGAATGAACTGATACCAACAGCAAGAAGAAAACAGACAGAATCATCTAAATATGAGAAAAGAGGTTAACATCACAGGATGTTCGGGATACTAGATTGCAACTCTATGTAAAAAGAATATTACAAGTCACAGAAGAATTTTATGAGCCAGTGTACTGACCTCTTGCTATTATAAGACATGGAATTTTGATGTGACTTGTAACATCATAAATGTATAATGTAAGAGGTTAGCTATGCCATGTAAGAGGGCATTAGGGCATGGATTTTTGACAACGCATACATTAAAGAATGAACTATTAACTTAGAGCTTTATTACTGCTAGTCAAGGGCAGAGCTAGATATAATCGACTCATTATATAGATTCCTATGACAGATGGAAAGATTCATGCTTTTCTAGATTTATATCTCTGGAGTTAGTTTGTTGAATAATCTGAGGTGTGCAGGGGTGGTCATGTAATAAAAGTGAGGTTTTAACCGAAATTAATTTGTTCAAGCAAGCACAATCAGGTTCAAGTTTGAAGCACCTCTTACGAAAAAAAACATTTGGTATAATTCCACACAATGTGGTGGAATTGGAAATATTCTCTGATTACTTTTGTTATAGTAGAGAAACTATCTCATTCAAATAATCGAATTTCCTTCTACTTACTTTAAAATGTCAAATAGATTCTAGTCCAGTGGAATTTTAGTCTAAACTAAATATATGCACTAAACTATATATTACAGATATGTTTTCTAGATACTCCTAATATTGCTGTCCAAGGAATACTTTAGGCACCAAAAGAACATTAGTTTAATTAAGCAATTCTGGTGTATAGATCATGCCTCTGCCAATTCTCTGCGGTTTAGGAGTTAAATCATTTTGTTTATACAGCCCTAGTCATCCCTTATATGAATACAGTTTAATTTACAGTGCAAGAGAAACACATTTCCAAAGCAAGTTAACATCTGAATAAAAATGAAACATTTTATTTCATGCAAGTTGTGTGAGTCACATCCGGGGAGGTGTGGCTAGGGCTGCATAAACAGAAATAAAGCGATAAGGGAAAAAAGGTGCAAGGAAGTAGGCTCTAAGAATAATAAATTACCCGGTGGGATATATAGGCATGTTGCATAGGTAGCTATACACACAGTACAGTGCAATGATGAGAATTTCCTTAACCCCAGAACTCCAGGGGGGAGGGGGGAATCTTATGGAGGCAAGGCATGGGTCAGGGTGAGTTATACAATGAGACCCAGTTGTGTCTATACAAGCAAAACTGAAAACGGATCCAATACTACAATGCAAATAACCAGTTACACAAAAAGTAGAAAGAAACTTTAGCACCAGCTATCCTCAGCCAAGAGCAGATGATCCAGCAGGGGTGAATACTGTATCATTAGCAACATCCCATTGATGTTGGTTGTGGTAGTTGAGGGGTCAGGGACTTCCAGTCCCAGTGAGCGCAGAAACCCAGCAGCTTCTGATGCTGATGTAAGCCTCAAACATTGGCCGATGTTTTCGTCTATCAGAGCCCTTTGGTATCCCCACTTGTAGTGTATGGACGCTGCATGCAGCTTTGTCGTCACTTCCTTCAATGAGGTTCGCCATTGCAGTGTTGGGTGGCTTAAGTCCTGAAAAAACTCAAGGAGTGTTCCTCAAAGATAAAAGGAGCTTGGCCCCTGATTGCTTTCTGGAATGCTTCCTTGTCTCCCCCTGGACCTAAAACTGATGACATCCCTAGGTATTGGGGATCTGTTGTGAGGTTGGCCCGGCAGTCCAACCAGTATTAGGCCTTTGGTCTGCTTAGGTGGCATGGCTGCGGAGATCAATCTCCTCATATACTAAGGCAGTTCCGCAGGGTCGAACATGTCAGGTACACCTCTCACCTTCAGGTTGTGCACATACCGTCTGTACTTCATGCAGTTGTGTTGCGACAGTCTTGCTTGACCCTCAAGTCATGAACGTCTTCCTCCGTGGCCCTGATTGTAACATTCTTCCTCACCTTGCAGTCTCTGCACTCAGCAGCTGTGCGTCTGCATGACTGACTCTTGCGGCATCCATGGCAAAATATCCATGGCAAAATATACCCCCACGTGATTGACAACGTAGGCACGCGTGTGACAACGTGCGCATGCATGTTTTGGGGTCAAAGACCGATTTAAACCTCATTATACCTGAGAGCGCCTAATTAATTCTGGTTATTCTGGTTATTTGACTTTGGCATTGATTTTGACTTCCCTGTTTTCTGGCATCCCTGACCTCTGGCTTTCCTTTTTCGTTGTGTACCTTTCTGTGCCCCCTGACCTCGGCTATTCCTGACTATTCTTTGGTACATTAGCCCGGCCATTCTAAGGCCCGGTAATATGTTACCTATCAGTCATGTGTTACACATGTGTTACACAATTCTACGTGCTGGATCATACAGTAATCCTGACATTGATGCGCCCAGTCAGAGCATCCAAATCCTCATTCAGGACTGCCATTTCTGATGCTAAAAAGGTCTTGAGCTCCACTACCATGGAGCTCAGATCTGTTTTCGTAGCCAGGAGTGGTTCAGGCCGTCATGGGGTTAAAGCTTTACTCCTCCATGGTAAAGGTAGTGCTTCCTCCAGTTCCCATTCTTCCTCTGAGGCTGAGAGTGATTCTGCAGATGAGACATGGAGGACGTCTGCCATCTTGGGTATGTCCCTCACTTAGCCCCCGAGTTTTTTGGAGTGCTTCCCCATTGCAGCTTTAATCTTTAGACGGTTTTTGGTGTGCTGGCGTACCGCCAAACTGCACAGAAATTAGTGTAGTCAGTGGATATGAGCAGGAACACAGGCACCATGCGACTTTACTGCATGACGGTTAGCTCCCCCCCTATTGTCCTTTATTTTTTTGTGCATAGTGTAACAAAAGAGCTTTCCCTGCCACGACAGCAGGATGTGCATCTGGTGTCTCACTTATTGTTAGAACTCGCACACAGTAAAATAAATTAATAACCCTGAGTAAAAACATAGCTAAACAGGGTGTTGGTCCCTAAAACCTAAGAGTGTGGGAGAGGGCTAGTTATTTATCTTATGCCCTTCATATCATAGGGACAGTATGTGTGGGGTAAGTAAAACAGTAGAGACCCGGAGTGCATAAAGCCTATGTGAGGCTTAGAGAGGGGGAGGAGCAAACGCGAGTTCAGACATCTTAGATGGGGAAAACTAACCCAGGGGGCAGCGGGGGGGGGGGCGGGAGAGGGGAGTTGACAGGTATACCACATGGTGGAGATAGGGCTTCGGTCTTTCCTAAAATACCAACTAAAGGTCAATGAGCCAATTGCAGTGTTTGTCTCATATGGATGTACACTGTGTAGGGGTGAATGCTAGGCAGCCCTCAGGCAAATCCTGTGGGCAGATGATCACATAATTCCTAGTATAACTGAGTGTATGTAGAAATAACTGTATGAAAAGTTGGTAAGAAAAGTGAGTTTTAAGAGCCCATCTCAGCATGCTGACATGGAGGGTTCAGGTTGTGACAGCAGCAGACATGTCAGATGAAGGCCTTTGGGGGACAAATTGGATGATGTTCGCTGGATCCCATCAGGGAGGCTCTGCTGCTGTGTTCAGTCTATCTTTGGCCAGAGAGTCCCACGTGAGAGTGTTGTTGCTCCCTAAAGATCCTGGATTGAATAAGAAGCATCCCGTTCAGTACCAGCAATGTGTGGGATGGTCTCCACTGGTAGTTGATGCTGTGTGCACGGAGGAGGGTGGTAAAGGACTGGAGTGATCTGCGCCAGTGTGCTTCTCGAAAGATCCGCGTAGAAGGTAAGTGAGTGATATTCAAGTGTATAGGGAAATTGATTCCAAGTCGCGTTCATGACAGCAGCCTTGTCCTGTCCATTCTAGAATCTCACAACCACATCTCTCGGAATTGAGGATAAGGCCCTGGCCGCCTGGGAATTCTGAGCATGTCATCAAATACTACAGACTTCGCATGTCTGGGATGTCTTCTGCAATGCCTCTGATCTTGAGGTTCCTATCGTGTCTCAGGTTTTCAAGGGCTGCAAACCTCTGCTCTGCTTTATTTTGTTGTTGCTGCAGGGTCTGTACTGCTTGTTGTAAGGTCGTGACTTGGTGGGCTGTCGAACGGAAGTCTTGTTCCAGAGCTCTCATGTGGCCCATCAGGCCTTGCAGATTCTTTCGGAATGTGACCACATCAGCCTGTGTAGAACGTTGGAGGTCCACCAGCAGTTCCTGCATGATGGCTTTCATTACCGTAGACAAGTCCGGCTGAGGTACAGTTGGTGTAGGCTTTATAGGAGCAGATATGTGTACTTCTTCAGTTCCCAGATCTTGATCATCTGAAAGGTCGGAGCATTTGTCGGTGTAGGCAGCCATTTTAGGCTCAGGGGCACCATGCGCCTGCCGCCAGAGATCCCTGATGTTCATGCCCAATCTAGGCTTTTCTGCTTTCTCTTTCAGAATTTTTTGACCCATGTGTAGTAAGATGCCTGGGGGTCCAGTTATGGCTTGCTGATTTGGGGCAAAAGAGGTATTTTTGGGGTAGTATTGGCTTTGTAATATGGAGCACAGGCAACATGCGTCCGTTCAGCTTCTTAGATTGGCTCCGCCCCCCGTTATGTGTATTAATGGTTTTTGTTAATATTTTGTAGCTCTAGTGTCTGGGAGATAATTAGATGAAGCAAAAGCTAGCTCTCTTGTCTCCCAGACACAGAGGCGCCTGGGAGGGCTTACTGTACAACTGAATGAAGACCGCATGCTGGGAGTCTGTTTATATAAGCTGGCCACTGGGTCATGATAAAATATTCCTTCTTATACCCTTCATCAAGTCTTGGCTGATGTTTTGGTATACCAGAGCTATAATCACTGCTTCACCTTGGGATTCTAGAAATTTACAACGTATATACTCAGTAGGAGTATAGGGGATCCGTTATACTGTGATTCTTTACCTTGTTTGCCAAGGGGCTTGGGGAATGGGAAAAATTATATGTATTACCCTGGAATGAAGGAAAGGGGAGACCTTCTCAGAATATCAGAGCATAATTTGTGCTAGGATTTTGCTAGGATTTTCATTCATTAGTAGAAACAGATCTTAGCCAGTAGATTTGAATAGCAAAATCTTTTCTTCAAATAATTTTCAAAATATGTTTTCATTGTTTTGTTTTTTCTATGATTGTGCGCACTCACTAAACCTAGTAAAGAGAGACTTATTCTGAGGGTTTTCAAATTATATTTTAGGAACATTCTAACTTTAAATCCTTATGAATTCCAAATTCTAGCCTAAGGAACACTTTCAAAACACTCTGACTTCATAGAACTGCCACTATCAAAAACTGTTCTTTTTCTGTATCATTATACCTCAGGGATATTAAAATCTCATTACTTCTAGGGGAAATGAAACAATATAAAACAACTATTTATAATATATAGACATATCCAATTGCCTTACAGTTATATAATTAGTCTATAATTACTTTACATTTTGCTTGTAACAGCACTGGATGTTATGTGCTTTTTTTGCGTTAAATCTACAAATATCTATGTGTGAGATAGCTGAATATATTAAAGGCTCCTTATTTTTCCAAAATCTCATTATGTAGGAGGATATAGAAAATTATGCATTCAAACCTCCTTATGAGATCCCTAGGGTAAGTGAAGCATTGATGTTTGTGGAAGCTTGTAACTCTTCGGACTCTAGCGGTAGAAGCAGGCTCGAAAGAGTTTTTTCATCCATCACAACCCATGTCTATTTGATGACAGATTGCTCTCAGCAAAAGGGCTTCTACAGTTGATTAAATGTGTGATGTGCATGTTTCAGCATAGCAGCTAATAACTGTGCATACCAAATTGATAGTGGTGCATTTATATTCATGTAGTAAGAAAAAATACATGTGCTTATATTATATATAAATTTAATTTGATAATACTAAATTGTATTATAATTTGCACAAAATTGTTTCATTAGCTTTAGGTAACCACATTACCTTCAGCTGTTAAAACTCATATCAGTCCAATTTGATATATGAAAATGTAAATTTAAGTTCACTGCTGCCTAATATTCAACAAAGACAAAAGTTCAAGATTAAAATGTTAACAGTTGTATAACTATTTCCTATAAAATAAGTGGATATTGTGACAACTGTTATAGATAATATACTTTCAGTATATACATACACCTTAAATTGATGTTCACAAGACTTTTTTTAAAAATTGTTCCAAACTGACATACATTTTAATATTCTTTGTTGTTTTGGTTATTATTGCAAAAATTATTCATAAACTATTCAACTCCCATATGATCTAAATTTAATTATAACCACCTTAGTTTCCCATATTCTGTTAAGAGTTATAATGCTACAGAAACTGTATGCCCTTTAATTAATTACATAGTTTTTTTTGTTTTGTTTTTTAAATAGCTCAATTTAAAGTATGGTTAATGCTCAAATACTTTTTTGTTTAATTCAACCTATAAAGAAAATTTAAATTTAAAAGAAAAAAGAAAACTCCTTAAATATATATAACAGAAAGACTAGTTATTTAAAGGGTTATATAACAATAATGTACTGCAGTATACCAAGAATAAACCTTAAATAATAAAATAAGCACACACAAAAAAAT